AATATTTGTTAAATATAAGCAAAATTATTAGCAAAATTGCAGCTTTGCTCTCAGCAGAAATTGCACTGTGGAAATTTTTCCAAATTGCAGATGTTGGTCTCACCCTTTTACTGATAGGAGGAAAAGAAAAAAAAACTATTTACTGAGCAGACTAAAGATAAAAATTATGCTGTGATGGTGGAGAACATTAATAGGATTTATTTAAAGGCTATAATGATAATCTAATTTGTCAGACAAATGTACCCTCTTACCTGTCAATTAAGGCCTGAGAGGAGAACAGAAACTATAATCTACTATATCCCAACAATCACCTTACTGTAGGAGGTACAAGATGGTGCCAAAAGCAAATTAAACTGGAGCCTTTCCCCTGCAGTGCCCCCCTAGTGACATAAAAGCATATTTCTGTTGTTTGAGAACTGCAGTGAGAAGTACAGTGTTACTTGATTTGTATTCCAGGATTTGCTTGTCTTCAGCTGAGAGAAGTTGCAATAATTTAATACTTTACATAAAGTCTCAGAAATCTTTCATTTAAGGTCTTCATGTTATATAGTTTGAATACCATGTCATGGATATATTATGTATCATTTAAAAACAACATATTCCACACTCTTTCTTTTTTTGAAAAAAAAAAACAGCTTTGAAAAAAAGAGAAAACAACCTTTTTTTCCAAATTTTTCAGGTTTGTTTTTCAAAGTCTTTTCCAATCTCTAGTCAAAACCACCATTTTATGATTTCTACTGCTTTGCCATTTCTACAAAAACAATGGAAAAGAACGTTTGAACACCAGATCAAACTGCCATCGAATCATTTTTCTTGCTTAGGGGGTGGTTCACACCAGCAGTCTTGGTCTGCATTGGGCCACGTTGCTCTTTGCAGTCCCAGCACAAGAGCAAAGCAATCTGCACTGCAGAGAATTACAAAAACTTCTCTGTGGTGTGAACGAGCCCTAAGAGTAGTTGACAGTTAAAATCCCCATCAGTTATCTTATTGGGGAGATTTACCCTCACATCCTGGTTTGCAGATCCATCAGAAGTTGACAGAAAATCCCTTCACAGTGCGGGGAAATATCTTCAGAGACAGCAGTCACCAGAACAGGTGTCTTCATTGGGCGATGTCCCCTCACTTCCCACTCTGGTGGCAACTGTAACATTTTGGATTTCACATCACCCAACAGAGGTCACCAGGATAAATGGAGTGGATGAAGCAATAAAACCTGCCAGGGGCTTCAACAGTTCCCTTCTCCATCCAAAATGAAAAAAAACCTTTAGCGTTAGATACAGTTTACATAAATAATGGCTTTTGCGATACATTTTTGGTCATTGTATAGTTATTGACCGCGTGTATTAATAATTTTTTTAACATACTCAGAGATGCCGGGCAGACTCGCCTGTGCAGTACACTTAATAACCAGCAGATTAGCTATCTGTTTGTTTTAAAGGTCAGCCGGTTTGTAAACAGGCACAAAGGCTGGGATTATCTGATCTAATTATCTCTCTCAATAGGCTCAGACACTTGGTCAAAAACAAATTAGTTATTCCTGGTAATGTAAAGTAATAGAAATTAGGAGCAATCAGTCAGGCAAGGTTACCAGGCTCAGCATAAAGCAAATCCATTGTATCAGCCTGGCTTCTGAAAGAGGGAGATAAGAGGCATCTACAGAGTCCTCGGAAAATGGGAACTGGCCAGTTATCTGTAGCTGCTGGAGCTAAACTTCTGAATTCATCATTCTAACAAACTTCTCTCCTTGAAGTGGAACTCCAGCAATGCAATTAAAATACATTTAAGCAAACTGCTTTACCTGCCAGGAAATGTGTAAGCTCGCTTAGCTGCTCTTATGAATGGACAGCTTCTGCCTTGCAGCAATTGGGTCCTTGGTTCAAATCCCGGCCAGGACATTATCTGCATGGAATTTACATGTTCTCCCTTTGATGGGTTTCCACTGGGTACTCCAGTTTCTCCCCACACTCCAAAGACGTGCTGGTAGGTAAATTGGCCCTAATACTTGTATTTATGAACGTGAGATAGGGACCTTAGATTGCAAGCTCCCTAAAGATGACCTTCCCCCTAAAGGTCATGTCATGCTGCCCTGCCGCCTTCCTTCTCTTACATTTGGACATTCATTTTTTAAACTAATGTCATTTATTTGTGCAGCACTTCTGTGTTTTTTCGTCTAAGCAAGAATTACTCCCCACACCCATTTGCAGACGTCCCGAGCAAGCCCAGCACCACAGCTGTGCTTGCACTGGGTTCCCTGACCATCTGTGCATGCTGGAGGTTTCCAGCACATATACATAGACAGTTATCAGGGAAGTCCCAAACCTTCCTCGTCTTTGCTCATGCATGGAAAATCACCTGCAGATGTGGTGAAGGGCTCTTCAAGAACCCGAAGGTTGGACAAAGTCCTTCAGCACATCTGCAGATGCATCACGGAGCCATCTGAGAGATAGACTGAAGGTTCCCTTTAATTACTTGCAGCCCACCCACAGTAGCTTTACTGCAAGCGGGGCGACAGCTACAGGCCAGGCAATGTACACTGGTGCACCCCATGGCCTCAGGCAGTCGGGGTATCACATGATCACAAGAAAACACAACTGTTATGAATAGGTTTCATTCATAACAGCTGTGCTTAGTATTGTGATGCTGTAATTAGCCCACAGCTATTACATGGTACCTGGCCTGGCCTGGGTGTATCCCTGAGGACATGCATGTGCACAAAACGCGTTGGATAGAGCCTACGTGCTGACGTCACGCAGCCATTTCCAAGTTCCGGAACCCGCGGCCATCTTGGCATGTTTGGCCGCAATTACTTGTTTTTGATTCTCCACGTGGAAGATGTTTAAAGCTTGTCTTTTATGTAACAATTTTTAAATTCATTAAATACTACACTATATATGATCTTCTGGGCTCCTATTTGTGTTATCGGTGTCTTGGAGGAGATAGAAACGAAGGTTCCTAGGTTGTAGCTGGTTTTCTGGTGAATCAAAGTGGTGGAGGATCCTGCACAGGAGAGGAGCACCTTTTGGGATTAGAAGTATTTGGAATTGTTTCACTGTTATTCTAATTGGGCTGTTATTGGAAGAACATTTCGTTATATTATTGCACGTGGCACTTTAATGAGCAATCTGTATGTTAATATTGATTCATAACATTTTATTCATGAATTGATTCAGGTTAATATATATATATACCTGAATCAATTCATGAATAACATTATATATATATATATATATTTATTTTTTTTTTTCTATGCGCTGCGCTGTTTGTATTTAATTTGTTGGTACCTTGGCCATTCACAGCACCCTGTACCATGTTATAGCTGTGGGGAAAACATAGATCACTATAGTAATCACAGCTGTTATCAATGAAACCCATTCGTGACAGTTCAAAACATTGCTGTTACAGTGATCATCACTGAAACAGCAATCAAATTAAAAAAAAAAAAAAATCCCTGATCACTCCCTCCCAATTTAGTACAGCGTCACTATGGAGAGACTGAACTACTCTAATGACAGGATGTACAAAAAAAATTGTAAAAAAAAAATGTCATAAACGAGAAAAATATTTATAAAATTTAATAAAACATTATTTATTTATTTTTTTCCACATACTGTCACCAATCAGTATACCCTAACACCGCCACACCAGTCATATGATGATGCTGTACTGCAGTGGTAACAGTATGTAAAAAACAAATTGTGAAAAAAAAATCAAATATTTTTAATGTCTCCAATTTCCAAAAAAAATTTGATAAAAATTAAAACTTCAAAAATTTTTGCAAATGCCTCTTACTAAATGCCTCAGGCTCTCTACTTTACAAAAAGGGGTAATTTGGGGGGAGTTTGTACTGTCCTAGCATATAGGATGTAGGATAGGCAGTCAGTACATCAGGACTGATCAATTTTTAAATATATATACTATAGTTTGTAGACTCTATAACGTTCACAGTTTTTTTTTTACCAAAGACATGTAGTAGAATACATGGAGACAATCAATATTGTTAAGTTTATTTGTGCTCTTTGTAGTTTTTTTATTTTATTTTATTCTGTGTATTTTTGGAAAAAAAACCTTAAAATAAAATGAGGTTATTGAGGGGCCATTTTCACACAGGAACAAGTCCAGAACAAAAACATTTCACAAACTACAAAAAAAACCACCTTATATTTCAAATTTGCGCAAAGTAAAAAAAAATTAAAATAAAACATATGTGGCTGCGATAGTCACATTCTATCTGGAGCTGTCCCCCTCAGTACCTATTGTTCACCAAAAGATGCCTTCAGTCTTCGGGGTTGGACAACGCTCAGCTTCCTGCACTCACTGTGTATTGATGCGGAGTGCGGTGAGGATGTCATCTCGTACTTTGGATACTCTCTGAATAATCTAGGACTGCCAGGAGAAGTCCACACTTTACTGTAGTAGGAACGTATTGTACAGTTCCTAATCATCACATTTTTTGCCTTTGCCTCTTACTCCCCGCACTGCCATCACTGCATAGTCGACATCTATGTTAACATAGGATTGCCACTCAGCACCTTCCAGTTTTTTCATTGTAGGTCCCCATAGGTGGGTTCTCCAACAGAGCATCTATCTTCCAGTTTTCTCAATGTAGGACCACATAGGTGGGTTCTCCAACAGAGCCTGTATCTTCTAGTTTTCTCAATGTAGGACCCCATAAGTGGGTTCTCCAACAGAGCCTGTATCAGACATACCCTGAAGGGTTCACTTTCTGAGGCTGCAGGCTTACCTACCAGTATACTAAGGGAAGCCTCCTTCCATCACCCTCTGCCTCAGGTTCTTCCAGCTCTAAATTTTAAGGAACTAAACTGGCCCTACCTACAATGTCCTTCCAGTGGGGAGGGGTCTCCCTAAAAGGGATACTACCCCTGCTTACATAGGCAGATAAGTTTTCCGGGGGAGACACCTCAAAACTGGGATGTATGGTAACCATACCCTAAAGCAAAGGGGAATTAGAGAGAGAAACAGAGAGGACTGTGTTCTATGAGCAGGGGCGGACTGACTATTTGGAAACTCGGGCACTGCCCAAGGGCCCGGGGTCAGTAGGGGGCCTCATGAGATGCCTCTGGTTCCTTTTTCATAGGCTTTTTTGAGTTTGGGCAAGGACACAGGGGCCCCATGATCCCCTATTGCCCGGGGGCCCCATGAGTTGTCAGTCCGCCCCTGTCTATGAGTGATGTCAGGCGCATGCAAAACCCCACCAAAGTCAGTTATATCTTTATTGTGGTCCCAAGTGTGAATGTGCCATTATCTAGGACCCCAGTGGTCAGTTGTCATTGTTTTAGGACCAGACATTTTGCTTGTCAGTAGAAAGGTTTTGAGTAAGCATACTTTGCAATAGCGACCCAAAAATTCAGCGTCATTTTGGGTTGCGCACTTACAAAGCATACCTATTTATACAAACCTAGTTATATTTTACATTTATTGGTCCTTCCAGTAAGCCTTTCCTGTCAGTAGCCTGGCTGCCGTTAACACTTCTTATACAACTTACTGGGAGATGAAATTCATTAAGAGGAATAAAGAGACCTCTTCCTAGGAGCCTATAAGCTGGACATGATGTCTATTGGCTTTGGCATTATAAACGCTTCTGTGGCCTGGAGAGGATATGAAGCCAGGGACACTGTGGTGGGTGGGTGTAACGTGAACTTTCTAAGGACGTCTTTAGCTCTGATAGTGATGAGTGATGAGAGCTGGAGGGGCTCTGAGTGTAAATAAACCCAAAGTACAGAGAACACGTGTGTTCAGTGTTCAGCCAGGAACACGTCTACAACGACGACCTTCATCCCCATTGCGGAGCCTCGGAGTCTATACAATGCCTGCCATTTTCTATGTATCTGATCCATGTTATATACTGTATATACTGTGACCACTGCAAATTCTGTATATAAACTGTGCTTATCTGTCTATACAGTACCCACTGCATGTTCTATATTAATATATACTTTATCTATCTATCTATCTATCTATCTATCTATCTATCTAATCAATATATTTAGTATATTGTGTCTACTACATATTCTGACTGTACTTATCTGTCTATACTATGCTCCTGTACTAAAAGTAATGCAAACATGGACATAACATTTTTATGAACTTACATACTGTAGGTCATTAGCTAAATGACTTCACTTTTGAATCACTGGCCCTTTTAAAAATCTGATGAAATCAGTAGAAAGTAAATTATAAAAAAACTCTCATCGATGAGCCTCTTTCTTTGTTCATTCTTGTTTATTTCACTATTTATGTTGGTAGTAAACATTTTGAAAATCAATAAAAAGTAAATTATGAAAAAAAAAAAGGATTCTGTTAAAAGCTATGGACCCCCTTCACAGAAATATTCATATAAACACAACTTTGCATGCAGTGAATATATGTACCTTATTTTTTTGAGAATTGATTGCTTTATATACAGTTGTGTTCAAAATAATAGCAGTGTGCTGAAAAAAAAGTGAATAAAGCTCAAAATCCTTCTAATAGCTTTTATTTCCATACACACAAATGCATTGGGAACACTACACATTCTATTCCAAATCAATACATGAAGAAAAATATATCAAATTTGTGTTGTTCCTCTAAAAATTTGAAGAAAAGTGAATATTAGATTGTTAAAAAAATAGCAGTGTTTGTATTCTTCTTTACAAACTCAAACATTCACTATATAAACTGAAAAATGTTTGAAGATTTTGCTTTCCTTTGAATCACTTAATGAATATTTAGTTGTATAAGCACTGTTTCTGAGAACTGCTGGACATCTGTGTTGCATGGAGTCACCCAACTTCTGGCCCCTGTGATCAGGTATTCCAGCCCAGGATGATTGGACTACATTCCACAGTTCTTCTCTATTTCTTGGTTTTGCCTCAGAAACTGCATTTTTGATGTCACCCCACAAGTTTTCTATTGGATTAAGATCCGGGGATTGGGCTGGCCACTCCATAACGTCAATCTTGTTGGTCTGGAACCAAGATGTTGCACGTTTACTGGTGTGTTTGGGGTCGTTGTCTTGTTGGAACGCCCATATCAAGGGCATTTCCTCTTCAGCATAAGGCAGCATGACCTCTTCAAGTATTCTGATGTATTCAAAAACTGATCCATGATCCCTGGTATGCGATAAATAGGCCCAACACCGTAGTATGAGAAACATCCCCATATCATGATGCTTGCACCATTATGCTTCACTGTCTTCACAGTGTACTGTGGCTTGAATTCAGTGTTTGGGGGTCGTCTGACAAACTGTCTCCGGCCACTAGACCCAAAAAGAACAATCTTACACATCAGTCCACAAAATGTTGCACCATTTCTCTTTAGGCCAGTCAATGTGCTCTTTGGAAAATTGTAACCTCTTCAGCACATGTCTTTTTTTTTAACAGTGGGACTTTGCGGGGGCTTCTTGCAGATAGCTTGGCTTCACATAGGCGTCTTCTAATTGTAACAGTCCTCACAGGGAACTTTACACCTTCTGTCATCTTCCTGGAGCTGATTGTTGGCTGAGTCCTTGACATTTTGGCTATTCTTCTATCCATTTGAATGGTAGTTTTTCGCTTTTTTTCCACGTCTTTCAGGTTTTGGTTGCCATTTTAAAGCATTTGCGATAATTTTAGCTGAGCAACTTATCATTTTCTGCACTTCTTTATATGTTTTCCCCTCTCCAATCAACTTTTTAATCAAGGTACGCTGTTCTTCTGAACAATGTCTGGAACGGCCCATTTTCCTCAAAATTTTCAGAGAGAAATGCACTGTAACCAGCATGTACAACATTTGCTGCCTTCCTTCCTTAAATAAGGGCAATAACTGCCACCTGTTTTTCAAAGAATGAATGACCTCACTAATAGAACTCCACACTGCTATTATTTTGAACATGCCCCTTTCAATTAGTGATTCAATTACACAGAATCAGCAGCATGCATGTCATGACTGTTGGGTCTGTTGGATTTCTATTACTCTACTACACCTGCTAGTAAATTATTTGCCATGTAGAAATATCATTTCTACCAAAAACAGTGATTGATGAGGTTAGTGATGTCTGACTGCTATTATTTTGAACACAACTGTATATCTGACATATGCAAAGTATGAATAAAGCAAGCAGTTTAAAAAAAAAAACTCATCGTGTACAAAATAAATAAAACAATTTTTAATTCTGGTCAAATATACTACTACGACTACTACTGTTACTACTTCTACTCTTTTGCTCTCTTTCTCTTGCTTTCTTTCTCCCCCCCCCCCCCCCCATCATCGTTATCTATTTTATTTAAAAGAAAAGGCTGTTCTTGTTTGCCTTGAACATGAAGATGAAACTGTGGAGTGGTCTTCAGCAAGGTGACATGCATATCATCTTTGACAAAACTGACATGCAATCTATTTTTACTTTTTTTTTTTTTTTTTTAGAAACAAAACCTTAAAACCCTGATTCAGGAAGGTATGTAGTAGGGAATTAGAGCATTCATAGCTTGCTTTACCAAATGAGGGTAGGTGTGTGTCAACGGACCCCCTGAAACCCATCCCTGGTCTATATAATGCGCTACATGTAGTGTATTTTCAATATATGTATCTGCCTACACAATGCCCTTTGTATTTGAAAAAAAGTATATATATGTGTGTACACATATATATATATATATATATATATATATATATATATATATATATACAAAACTGGTTTAGAGGTGCTCACGGGTCTTGCAGAGGAGGAAGATCAAAAACAGCAGTGTTTTTATTGTCAATGTTTCAATGAAGCTCAGTCCATCTTTCTCAAGACGGCTTGAGTGCCTCTAAACCAGTTTTGGATTTTTGGATTTCCTTGTCTGTGAGAACCTGGGCATTTATCTCAAACACAGACTTTTGGAACTGTTTTATTTATATATATATATATATATATATATATATATATATATATATATATATATATTTTTTTTTTTTTTTTTTTTTTTTTTTTTTTTTCCTTCCCTGTCCTACTACCTGCATGTTCAAGGATTAGTAATCAACCCCACTGTGCCCACTATATATTTTATGACACTTGTATTGTTAGCCAGGTAGTTGGGGAGGACTGTCAGCAAGTCCACTTAGTCCACTTAAAGGAAGGCAAGAAGCTGAGGCCCAGCATTAGAAAGGCCACATCCTGGTATTTGGGAAGCACTGTTAAATATCAAATTCGCCCACTACATATTCTCTACAGTATATGTATACTGTACCCACTACCCATTCTACTGTGCCTGGGCCATTTACATCTATCCACATATGTCCTTCCTTCCTTCCCACCTCCCTTTCTTTCAGGCCACACTATGATATAACAGGAAGAATTTGGTCACGAGAGGCCTCCTTCCTTTTTCCCTACTTTCCATATTGCCTTCCTTCCTTCTTTTTCCTTTCCTCTTCTCTTCCCTTTCCTTTCCTTTCTTTTTCTTTCCTTTCCTTTCCTTATCCCTCTCTTCCCCCTTTTCCTTCCTTCATATTAATCCTTCCTTCTTCCCACTCTTTTTTTCCTCCTTCCTTCTCTTCATTTCTTCCTCCCTTCCTTTCCTCCCTTCCTTTCCTCCCTTCCTTTCCTCCTTTCCTTCCTTCCTTCCTTCCTTCCTTCCTTCCTTCCTTCCTTCCTTCCTTCCTTCTTCTCTTCCTTCTTCTCTTCCTTTCCTTGTCCCTCTCTTTCTTCATTTCTTCCCTCCATCTCTTTATATTTTCTTCTTTTCCTTCCACGACTCCTACCTTCTCTCTCTCTTTCTTCCTTCCTATTCATCCTTCCTTCTTCCCACTCTTTCTTCCTTCCCTCCTTCTCCTCTTCCTTCCTTCCTATCTTCCTTCCTGTCTCCCTGTCTTTTCTTCATTTCTTCCGTCTATCTCTTTATCTTTTCTTCTCTTCCTTCCACTACTCCTCCCTTCTTTCTCTTTCTTCCTTCCTATTCATCCTTCCTTCTTCCCACTCTTTCTTCCTTCCCTCCTTCTCCTCTTCCTTCCTGCCTATATTCCTTCCTGTCTCCCTCCCTTTCTTCATTTCTTCCTTCTTTTATTCTCTTCCTTCTTTCTTACTCCTTCCCTCTCCCCTCTTTCTTCCTTCTCTTTATTAAATCCTCTCTTCCATTCCTTCCTTTCTTTTCCTTCCTTCTTTCCTCCTTCCTTTCTTTCTTCTTTTTTTTCTCTTCCTTCCATTTTTCCCTTCCTTTTCCTCTTTCCTTCCCTTCCTACTTCCCTCACTCCCTCTCTCTCCCCTTCTCTTTTCTTCCTTCCTTCCTTCCTTCCTTCTTTCCTTCCTTCCTTCCTTCCTTTTTCTTCCTTTCTTCCTTCCCTTCCTCCCTCCCTCTCTTCCTTCCCTTCCTC